GCAATGCTGTGCCCTCTTTCGTCATGTCCAGTTTGCATTCTGTTGGCTGCTTGTGGGAGCAGAATATTTCCCGGTGTCTAGAAGTACAGGGGCTTCTTCCCACCTGGTCAGCCAGCCAGACTCCCCGGGGAATGGCACCCAGGGGAGAGGACCAAGCACCCACGCACCTGCACACTGATTATCAATCATGCCAAGTCCCTCAGGGGCATGAGCATGGCCTTAGGATGGGGAGAGGCGGCTTGCTGATTCACCGGGAGGACCCACAGGCCTCGGGGCGGGCACTTGGCTGTGTGCCCAGCTGTGATTTATCCCAGGGCAGGGACACAGTGCACACCCAGCATGAGAAAGCGCACAGGGGCCAAGTCCCTGTCCCAGAGTCCTCTCCCTGTCACACAGGAGGCACCTAATGGCCCCCATCCCACAACAGCTTGGTGACAACGCACGTGAAACTTACCTACCAGGGGAACTCATCCCTCAAAACCCAAGGTTTCTACTGGGGGCCGGTCAAAGAGCCAGCCTCCAGTTGACGCATAGGATGGTCCCGACTCCCAGACAGCGAGCAGCTGCAAACCACACGGAGCCAGCATACGCCACTCATTCACATGAGCACTCAGGTGCAGTGAAACACTCTGATTCTGGGAGCAGTGGCCACCTCCTGATGTCCAAGTTCCCTGATACCTGCCCAGGGCCGGCCCTGGAAGGGGGCGTTTCTGAGACAGCAGCCTCAGGCCTGCTGTGGGAGCTCCTCCCTGCATGGGAGGCCTTGGTGTGGGCACCAGCTGCCATTCAGGGGCACTGCTGGGCTTGGGGAACTATGACCGTGGATGCCTGGACGTCAGAGTGTGCCTGGTTGGGCTGTGGGCACTCCGGTCAGGACTTCTGTACCATGGTGCTATCTACAAATGCCGCAAGCAGGTGCTTGGTCTCACCTTGCTCCATTAGGCAACACCGTGCGTACTCTGCACCCAGTCCCCAGAACGTTCTATCTGTGTGTGCGTTATAGCACCTTGGAAACATCTTAGAGGCATTCACATCAGGCTTTTGGGGGGCCAGTGGGGAACATTCATATCGTACAAGCGGGCTCCCTAGCAATCTGCCTGCGATGTCTGCAATTTCTTGTCATCTCAAGGATGCGAACTGCAGGTTCAATTTGCCACCGGAAGGTTGGCCCTTGAGTTCCGTGTGCTGGGAGATAATGGTAAATGATTCATGGGTTCTCAGGCCTGGGAACCAAATGAGTGTCAGCCCCTTGTTTTACAAACACAGAAATAGTGATGCCAGCACCCACCCTCCCTCCCAGGCCCCTGCTGCGTTATCTCTAGTGCACCCTTCTCAGAGCCCAGCTCTGCACTCACGGTCACCCAGCTGCACAGCGGAGGCACCTGTGGCTCGGAGACTCCGGAACACCCAGCAGAGAAGTAGCAGAGCCGAGGGTGAAACAAAGCAGACTGTGAGGCCCCGACGGTTGGGAACACCGCCCAGACGGGCAGAGCCACTTGCTGGAGGTGACAGATAGCCACAGAAGGACTCCAGGGTGTGAGCTGCTCTTGAGCCCCACTCTGTCCAGCCTCCTTCCTGTAACCATACAGCACATCACCACACTGCGTAGGCTCCCCTTAGTGCTGCCCATAGTGGGAATGCGCCTTGAACTCACTGGAAAGCTCTGTCTGGCAGCTCGCCTTGTCCCAACTGCGGGAGGCTTCTGGCTGGCCCAGTGCTTTCCTCTGTGAAACTGCTTGCCTACTTCACCGACCATGAACGTTCTAAATCCATTGGAACTGCCAGCTGCGTGCTCAGACCCGCTGGCCGCTCCCCCACGGGGTACGTGTGGACCGCCCTGGCTGGCAGGCACAGCCGGGCATCCCCAGCCCTCGCCTCAGTCTCCAGCCTTCCTCCTGCTGCCCGGCCACCTCCCTGAGTCAGTGCTCTGAGCGGTCTGTTCCCTCTGCCTGCCGCCGTGCAGCCCCAGCCTGCTCACCTGCCCTTCTCACCCGATCCAGGTTACGTGGCTGGGGTCCCGTGGCTTTCTCAGGTTCCGCTAAGGCAGTGCGTTGCACCTCGTGCTCCCGCTGGGTGTTTACTCAGGGCAGTCCCGACCAGACGGTGCGCTCCTTGAAGGCAGCGACAGTGGAACCTGTATCTGCAAGGCGGGTGGGATCCTGAGCCCCTTGTACGGAGCCTGAGTCAGGTAGAAAGGCACAAGCATGGGTGTCTTGGGTGTAGACTCCATGAAAACACAAAAATGGAATCCGTGAACGAGGTGGTCCAGAGTGGGTCATGCTGGTCTTCAAACGTGCTTTTGTTGAAGAGTATTTCTTTCAGCTGGAGTTGTGAGTGGAGATGGGTGGGGTAGGTTCTTGTCTTTGTGCAAGAAAGAATTCAGATGTGAGTCAGGAGCAGTAAGCAAGGCAGTGAGGTTTTTGGGCTAGGGCATCATCCATCACAACGAACGGGCACCTCTCCAGACAGAATCCGAAAGAGAGTGCCCAGCCAGAAGACTGGGAAAAGCAAGGTTACGTGACTTAATGGAGAGAATACACCAGGCAGGCCAGGCGGGCGGCTCAGGAGGGAGCTGAGAGCTGAGCACTCAGCCTGTATTCAGACTGGGGCTTACAAGGGAATGGGGTCCCGTTTCTCCTGCTGTTTCTCCCCCCTCCCCCAGGACAAAGGGTTTGCTGAGTGTGAATTGGGTGAAATTCCTCCCCAGGTTTCACCACTCAGGGCTGTCAGACTGGGGGGCCCACCAGCTGCCCCTGGGGTGCCTGCCTTGGGGAAAGGCAGGGAAGGTTTTATCGCTCAGTGGCATCGGGCCAGGCAGCCCACTGGGTGCTGAGCAGAGAGGGCTCTCCTGGGGAGCTTCCCTTGGGGGAGGGCTGAGACCACCAGTGAAGTCAATGGGGTCTGGGCAGGACTTTGTGGTGTAAAACGCTGAGCTGAGCTGTTTGCAAGGTGTGCTTTGGTGGCTGTTGCATTCTTCTCAGAAGAAGCTTCTCTTTTCCTAGCCCCTCCCGCCCAAGCTGATTTTCCCCCAAACACAAAAGGAAAGCTCTGGGTAAGCGCCTTCTTCCAGGCTGTCCCGCATTCACGATTTGGCCTCCCTCCATCTCCTCTCCTTCCTGGGGACCCTGTGCCACTGGGCTGTTGCCACTGTGTGGACACTGGAGTCCAGTTCACTATGTCAGGGTCCACTAGCTGCTATGAGAAGCAAGCTCCGTCTCAGTGACTTAATTCAATGACAGTTCCTCTCTCGGGTCACCTCCACAGCAGGCGAGCCGGGGTGCACTGCTCCCTGTTCCATTCAGGGACCCAGGCTGCTCCTGTGGACTGAGCCCTCTGCTGGGCCCTCCGTGCATGGACAGGAACAGGAAGTGAGCGTGAGGAAGGCATGCGAACTCGTCATGCCCCAGTGAAGGTGACCCGTGTGTCCCTTCTGCCCACAGTCCTTGAGTGAAAAGTCCTGTGGCCACACCTCGATGCCAGGGTCTGGGTAATGTGGCCTGTAGTGTGGGCAGGGAGAGGAGAAAAGCACAAATTCTGTGAGGTCTTACGGGCTCTGTGGGTCCCAGGACGCCATGTGGCTAAGGGGGTGTGCTTCTCAAACCCAGACATCTCTGTGGGTCCCAGGACCAATGTGGCTAAGGGGGTGGGCTCCCCAGCCCCAGGGGTCTCTGCGGTGAATGACATTGCCCAGGATGACCACAGGGTTGCATGGGGTGAGACCTGCAGATGCCCCACACTCACTTAGCAGTTAACCAAGACGCAGACACTTTTCTAGAAGTGGATTAGCTGGACTGTAGGCCGTGGGCATCCTCAGCTTGCCCAGAGGCTGTCAGATGGTTTTCCAAGTGGGCTGCACGGATCAGTCTTCCACCAGCAGAGAACTGTGCAGCTCATCACTACTTGGTCTTGGGAGACTTTTTCATTTCCAGCCTGTGCAGGGGTTGTGAAAACTGTACCCTGCTCTAGGTTCTCATGTGGCTCTCACACTGCTCTAAGGGCCAGCGACCAGTTCCCAGCTTTTAGAGAAAAAAAACAAGGTCCACTGGATTTAAATCATTAGCAAGTGACAGTGCTGGGATTTAAGGCCAGCTCTGCATGACATCATATCCCGGCTCTGCTGAGATTCACGGGCCCATTTCATATAGCAGCAGACACCTGTGAGTCTCTTGAGGACTGAACCCTTTTGGGGGAGCCAACTGTCATGACCTCAGTCTTTGGTGCCTCTCAGAATCACCCAGGTTCCATCTAAAACCTCCTGGGCCAGAGCTGAGAGCCATGGGAACCGAGTGGGTGTGAGGCAGTATCTCACTGTGGATTTGATGTACATTTCCCTAGTGACTGATGATGCTGGGTGTCCTGTCGTTACCTCATTGGTGGTTTATATTTTCTTTAGCATCTGTTCAAGTGATTTGCTCACTTATATTGTCTTCCTATTGAATACGCTGGAGTTCTTCGTGTATTGTGGATACAAGTTCTTTGTAGCTGTTTGTGTTGCGCTTAGGTTATCTCAGTGTAGTGCTGTCTTTTCCTGTTTGATGGTACCTGGAAGAACGGAAGAGTTTGATTTTGATGAAGTCCTAATGAGACCTTCCTTTCTTTTATAGTTGGTGTTTTCTTCTGTCTTGTATCTTTGCTCAAGGTAACTCTTCGGTGCGTGTGTACACTTTCAACACACTAGCGGAGTGGTGCTGCTATGGATTCAAGTTGGAGAAGCCTGGGTACAAAGGTTATCTTTGGGGTCAGGCTTGCGGTCAGATCTGAGTTCAGCTCTCTGGTTTGCCACTTGTAGAGGAAATCACTGTCTCTCTGAGCCTTGGTTTTTTTTTATGTGGAAAATGAGGTAAAAAGGAAAGGGGCCGTTCCCCACATTTGTTAACAGAATCCAGTGCGTAGAGCCTCAGAGCCTTGTGCGGGACCCAGAGGAAGCACTGTGGATAGGGGCTTGTTGCAGGCAGCGGGATGGAATGGAAGAAATAATGTGCCTTGTTGTTTGCTTTCAGTACATCAAGGCCTTTTACAATGCCTCGTGGCAGAGAAGACACGGACAGCCAATAGGCGCGGACACGCTGACGCTGCTCTGGTCTCTGACTGTGTCCATATTCGCCATCGGAGGACTTGTGGGGACGTTCGTGGTGAAGGGGATCGGAAAGTTCCTTGGGAGGTCAGTAAGGGGCCGTCTAAGTATTGTGCCTCATAGCTCCGGTCATGTTCAGGGCCCCCACAGTGGGCAATGGGATTCCACCCAGACAGCTCTGCTGGGGACATTTTAATGCTAGAGAGGTGGGGCGGGGGGGGGGGGTGGGAATGGTGCCATAGCCCAAGGAGAGCGGAAGCTCTGGATGGCGACTGGTGCCGGGAGGCGGGGCTGTGGAGGGCGTGGGCTGTGTCAGGATGACAGCACCCAGAGAGGCAGGAGCCGGGGAGAGATACCCGGACCTCCCCTTTCCTCCCTGCCCCCAAGTCTGCTCAAGCACTTCTCACTGGCCACACCAAAGCAGAAGCCAGAACCCAGGGAGCGTGTTGATGCCGTCCAGGAGGGCCAGCTGCCAGGGCACAGCGCAGTGTGGATGTCCGGGGTGTCAGGGCGGATGGAGAGCACACAGCATGCTCACTCACCGGCTGTTCCGCCTACATGCACACAGGTTGGCTTCTTAATGAAATCAACAGCTTACACAGTGTCCCCGTATATGACTGGCCGGTCACTTCTGTCCCCACTCCCTGGTTCATAGCTACTCAGGCTATGTCGAGTCTTTTATGTTACAAATAAGGCTGCAGGGACTATCAAAAACCCCATATTGAAATTTCCCACAGAGGCCCTTTCCCTTCCACTTTGGCTTGTGAAGCTTAATCCTCAGTTATCGTCAACAGAAAAGATTAAGATATCAATACGTTTCTCCCAAATAAAATTTCCGTGTTTCCTTGCTCGTAACAACAGCTTCCTGAGAGCTACTGGGGAGTGCATGCCACGAAAATAGAGTGTCTGGTGCATTCGTGTCTGATCATGACCTGTGTCTTCCACTTCCTAGCTCTGTGGCCTTGGCCATGTCATTTAATTGACTTGAGCCTCCATTTTCTCATCTGTGAAATGGGGACGATAGGTCTTGTTTTCAAGAGTTGTCACAAGAAAATGAGTGGAGGGTGGATGCCATTAGCAGCTGCTCACCAAGCAGAAGCTGCTGTAGAAGCTGCTATTACCGTCACGTTCAGCCTCGCCGCTCTGTGGCCGTCTCGCCTGGATGCGACTTGGAGAGGAGATTCATCAGAGCCCAGGAATCTCCGCAGACCCGGGGGTGCAGAAGCACTGTTGGGAAGAGGCTGGCCAGTTCTCTGAGACTCAGCCTCCCTTCCCTAACAAGGAGCGTGTGAGAGCTGATGGTACTGCAGAGGCGGCTTTGCCAAGGCTGGGGCAGGAGGCCCCTTGAAAGCATCCACGTGGTCTCACCAGGGTCTGCTCCTTCCCAAGGCCACGTCCAAGGTGGTAGCTAACAGGACTCGGTGCTGGAGAAGAACGGCCATCACGTAAGGTAGTGGGGGGCGCCACGTTGGAGGACCCCCACGTTCCAGGCACTCATGTGCACTCGTGTTTAATAGCTGGGCTCTGTGGGGTCTGTAGATGGGGACTGGGAGGTCAGAGAGGGTCTGTCATCTATTTCCAGCTTAGCTGGGTCACATGGTACAGCCAGCACCTGAGAGCCCCCAGTCCTGTGAACTTTCTGCTGAGCCAAGTGGGTCTTATTAGGGTCCTGCTGGCAATGGTACCAACAACTGGCAACTGGCTGGCTAGGATCTCTGAGGTGTGGTTGCCAATCCTCTGGCGAGGGTCCTCTTGCCCATCCCAGTTAGATTGGGCGACCCTGCCCCTACCCAGGCTCTGGGACCTGTGCTGGCCACCTGCCTTGTACCTGGCCATAGCATTTATTCCCCAGTATTGCAGCTCCAGGAGTCTCTGAATCCTAGCAGGTGCAATAGGAGAAAGAACACTGAATCAGAGGCAGGGTGCTGTGGCCCACCTCATCCTGACTCCTTCGTGTCCCAGTGAGTGATGGGAGAAGTTGCCACCTCTCCTCTCAGCCAGAAGTTTTCTCCTCTGCAGAACAAGGGCAGCTTTCCTGTCCTGAACCGTGTGACAACAAGAGGAAAACAAAAGAGAGTTGAAAACACACCTTAGATCTCTAAGTGATGGAAGGATTTTCCCATCAACCCAGTGGGGCTGGGGGAAGGGAGAGAGAAGATCAAACAATGTTGACTGTTACATCCTAAGCAGCTGCCAGCCCTGTCCATCCTCACTGTAGGAATTGGGCTGAAGTTTCAGATTAAATTCTCACAGTGCTGCGAGGGAAAGGAGCAAACACAGACAAAGGCGGCTACCGTTTATTTATATCGTGCTGCGTGTCAGTGTTTGTCACCCGACAGATCCGCTAGTTCCTGAAACTCTGCTCGCGTCTCTGCTTTACCAGTGGCCAATCTGACACCGGGAAGGTAGAGAAACTTGCCCAAGCTTACAAAGAATGGTGTTCGGCTGAATTCCAACCCAGTGTGCTTGAGCCCAGGCCAACGCTGTCCCTGCGGGTGCTGCTATTGGAGAGGCCTGAGGAGTCTGTTTCTCTCCCATGGTGACTGTCAGGGAGGAGGAGGAGGCTGGGGAACCTGCAGTGGCAGCCTGGAAGGTTCTTTGGGAGATGTTCAGCCCTGTGCTGAGAGCAAAGATCCGGTGGAACTGGAGTCCTCAGGGCTCAGAGGGGCCTGGCTGCTGCACTCGTCCTAGCAAAGGTGCATTGAGCTCACCTGTGATTTGGAAGCAAAATGAGGAAAGGCAAACAGCAGGGCTGGAGCCCAGCCTCTGAAGACCAAGGCACTCGGTGCTACCTGGGTCTCGGGGGGGCCTGTGGAGGGAGCCCTCTGGGCGAACCTCGGGCCTTCTTTTGGGGTCTCCCACCCACTGCTTGTGTGGCTATAGACAGAGCCCTCTTCCCTCATGAGCACAGACAGTGACTATGTGAGATGCCTGGACATTGGCCATGAGCCAGCTGCAAACCTGGCCTCTGAGGCGCGAAACCCAGAGACCCGTACACAAGCTTCTTGAATTCTCTGAGCTTCAGTTAGTTCATGGTGACAGGCAAATACAGTAAGGGCTGTGTCTGGAGGGGGGTGTTGTGAGCAGGAAGTGACAGGTGCATATGAAGTGTGCATCCCTGCCCCTGCAGTGGACACGCGGGCAGCACCTGGCTCGTGCCTGCCAGCGCCACCACCACCATTGGCTCTGCCCAAGAGGGCTCCTCCATCACGTGTCAGAGGTGACTGTGAACACACTCCTCAAAGTGCACTGAAATCGTTGTCCTCATGCGGTCCATTGGATCTAGCTCTTGACTGTGCAGCAAAGCAGAGAACACGTGTAAGAACCATAAGAAAACTCGCTTGGGCTTTGACATCAGGTCCTGGTCTTGGACAAGCCAGGAGACACACCACAGCTGCGGCCTGGGGCTGATGCTGGGCTGGGGGAGGCAGGCCCTGAGCCGTGCATTATGCAAGCCGTTAGGGTGCCGGGAGGGGCGATGTATGGGTAAGAGAGATACAAGAGGATGCTGCTCACGTGCTCCTAAATTTTCAATCTGCAAAGTGCAGATAAGCAATTCCTCGGTGAGGAGCAGCCAGGAGTTAGAAGAGAGAATTTACAGAGCATCTCCTGTCACTCAGGAAGCTTTCGGAACACTTGCGACAGGAGCCCAAGTCAAGCTGGTGTAAGCTCCAGAGGGAATCAGTTGGCCCCCACAAGTGAAATATGACTTGCTTGAACCCGGTAGCTCACGTGATTTGAAAATAAAGACCAAGCTGCCTCTTTCCTCTGTGTCCGGGTTAGCCTTTCTCTGTGCTGGCTTCACTCCCCTCCACGGGCAGACCCCACTGTGGGCAGGCAGGACGGCCCCAGTGCTATGAAACTCCTCAGAGCCATAGTTGTGGAGGAAGTCCCAGGCATGAATTTCATTGACCTGATGAGGTCACATGTCTCCAAAAGTTCTCAATGGGGTGGGAGACATGTGACAGCATTGGAGACATTTCTGGTTGTCACAACCAAGGCATGCTACTGGCATTTAGGGTATGCAATGCCCTGCAATGCACAGGACCGCTCCACACAACAAAGAATTCTCCAGCCCCGAAGGTTACTAGTGCCAAAGTTGAGAAATCCTGGCATATCACCTTCTACTGCACTGGATCCAAAACCTTAAAAGAAAAATGTCCTATGTTTCAAAAAGATCGACAATTGTGCTGTTGGCTGGCCAGCCCTGTACTGTGCACCCATTCCTGGAGCCACAGTGGGCTGCAGATGTGAGCGATGGCAGCCCAAGGCTGAGAGTGTGGGCAGCAAGTTTCTTTGGAGGGAGCTTGAGGGACTCCCCCCAGAAGGGTGGTTCTTGGGCCAGCACTGACAGCGGCCCCCATACATCACCTCCAGCAAGCAGTGGCTCTCAGAAGTGCTCTTTCTCTTGTCATCTTTTCCTACTTCAGCCTTGCAAGATGCGTCTTCATTGTATACTAGAAAATAGCTTCAGCTCTCTAGATGCCTGCTGGAGGAGCCTGCAATGCGTGTGGCAAGTATGTGCAGTTTGCTGGGGCTGCCATACTGGAAAGCCATAGACCAGGTGCCTGAAACAGCTGAAGTCTGAGATCAAGGTCCTGGCAGGTCTGGTTCTCTGTGCCTCTCTCCTTGGTTCGCAGATGGCTGCGAACACACTGTGTCCACGCGTGGTCTTTCCTCTGGTGCATATCCATGGTGTCTCGTCCTCTTGTCATAAGGCCATCAGTCCTGTTGGATTATGGCCCATCCTTGGGACCTCAGTCTACCTTAATTACCTCCTTGAAGATCTGGTCTCTAGATAGAGTCACTCTGGTGTTAGGGCTTCAGTGTGGGCAAACACGGTTTGGTGTGCAGGAGAGCACATGTGCCATACTGCTGGCTATTTCTTCTCTCAAGCTGGCGTCATCCCAGGAAAACAGTTCCCCAGGAGCAGAGCCTGATCTGGGATACTGGGGTTGGGATGCACATGTTCTCTAGAGGGAGGGCTCTTTTTTTTTTTTTTTTTTTTTTTTTGACAGGCAGAGTGGACAGTGAGAGAGAGAGAGGCAGAGAGAAAGGTCTTCCTTTGCCGTTGGTTCACCCTCCAA